GTGCGCAATTATAGAAAAGGGTGCTAGTGATGGTGAAGCTTCGCTTCCGCTTCCTCTCTCTCTCTCTTGCGCGCGTGCTCGATTCCAATATAAGTGTGCCGTTATTTAGGGAAAAGTGTCAGCTGAAGAGCATGAGAAAATAGGAGAGAGAGAGAAAGTATGTATGTATGTGAATGGTGCTATAATTTTCTTGATAAAAATGCTTTTTTTTTATGACTATAATCATTACATATATATATGAATTATTATCGAGCCAATGAAAAAATAATAATTATGACATGCACTTGTTACTTGTCCAATGAAAAGAAAGAAAAAAGAATATCTATATGACATTTTCTTTTATTATGAATTATTCAGAAATTTAGTAATCAAATTTACTTATTATCAACTATCTATTCTCATCTGTTACTTCATGATTGAATTAGAGAAGTAGTTATTCTATATACTACATATTTTGTAAAATCAATAAAAGTCAAACTTTAAGTTGGAGTATATGTCTATATCAGAAGAGCAAAATTGTCTGTTTTAAGATCTACTTATACATGTTTAATCTCTATGTAAGATTAAACATTTGATTTAAATAAATGAAGGTGTGTTATATTGAAAAAGAAAATCTTGATCATATAATCTTCGAACAACACTTTACAACCTCATTGGATTTATATAATGTAAAAATCATTTATCTTGTGTATTCGTTCATGCGTCTTAGTTATAGTCTTCATTCAATATTTGTTTGCGAAATACGATATACACATATAGATATGCTTAGTATATTCATGTTTACAAAAGTCAATCAATCACTTTTCATTCGTATATTTCTTCATTACATAAAGTTAAAACTCCAAATAAACATAGCAAGAGGAAGACGAAGACGCCGCCCTTCGACACCATTTACGAGCGTGCTTGTCTATCGCTTTTCTTTTTTTTTTTTTATTCGGATGAAGGTAAAAACACTTGGCAAATAAATGAAGTTTAGTTGTTGTCAACAAGTGAGAGGAGACAGAAAGGAAGGAGAAAGTCGTGATCTGCAAATAGCCTTACATAAAGAAGTAAGAGAGAAAAAAAAACTGAATAACATAGAAAATAACAACATAATGAACATGATAAACTGAAGATCATCCGCTGTTTTAATCCTTTTTACTTTCACTAATTGAGTATAAAACAAGAACATGACATTTTTTTAGTCGAAAGGTGCTGACTGAATATTAATAATTCAAAAATACATAGATACACACCTTATTCTCTTTACCCCAGCAGGTAGTCAAAGCATACACAGTTAGTCATCTATCATTATTAGCTTCATTCGACGAATAATTTCTTCTTTTTTCCTAATTTCTTCATTTTCGTTCGATATGTTCAAGTGGTCTCTTGAAATATCAGCACACCTTTTAATAAGATCAACAATACATAGACAATTGTTGGTTTACGTAATAATTATCAGTTTTTATGTGTACCACAGCATGTAACTGAGTTTTCGTTTCTATAACATGCTGTCTAACCTGATGTTTCCTTTATTAATACATAATGTCACATAATTAGCAAAAGAGGCAGCTGTATCGACATTGATTTTAATTTTTCAATGTTTTTTTACAATGAATTTATCATTAGAAAAGATTGATCGAAGAATAACATATCCTGTGGAGTCATGATATTTTTTTTGTGCAGATCATATATATACTCATGAAATGAGTTTATGTAATAATTTAGTTCATTTTTGAGATGAAACTATTTTTTTCTGTGATTATTTGTAAATGAAGTGAGGAGAAAAAAGTTAATTACATATGGATGTTTATCTAAAGTCGGACCAACTCTTAAAAACTTACAATTCAGTTTGAATGACTGAGTGCTGTCAGAAAAGAAATTGTATTATATTCAGAATGATATTTCAGTAATAGAATAAAGATATTTTTATATTGAATGGTGTTATTCTCAAAAAAAGAATAAAATTTATCAAACAGTTCAGCATTATAAAGTGAATTATGAAAATCAATCAAAGACTATTATCAATAAGCTTCAAGATCCAAAATAAAATTGAATTATTGAGTCTTCATCGGAATTCTTGTTCAAATAGATATCGTTTTTTTTTCAAAAAAATCAAATTAAGAAGATTCATATTTAATAGAAAAAGTTCAATCTATTGCAAATCAAAACAAATCATTAAATTGCTTAGATAATATATTTATATTGAATCTAAAAACTATTACAAACAACTTTTTCATCGATAATGTATTATTTTCAAAATAAAATGCATTAATAATATAACGAGAACTAATACTGAAGAAGAGATGTATACAAATTTAATTAAATTTACAGAATAGAAAACAAATATATGGAGATTGAAATATCCTAGTATGTATAAAATTATTACACAGAAATTGAAAATACTATGTTGATGGTAATAGAGTAGGTAATGGTTGTCTTTGTAATAATTCAATCATATGTTGTTGTTCATCGGATGGTGATTTTGAAGATGGTACAGTCTGAATATTATTCGCTTGTAAGTCAGGTGCTGATGAAACACGTGTAATAACTCTATATGAAATAAAGAAATTCAATTTAAGAAGTTTATATTATGATTAATTTTACTTTGGAATATCTTCAATATCATATTGAGTTCCTTCATCAATAATTACTCCTGGTTCACGTTCTTCATTTAATAGTTGCGTTGTATCAGCTAAAGCAAATACAATTGGTTCGTCTTTTGTACCTTGTACAATTGTATAATCTACACCTGGTTCTTCTTCTTTAGCTTTAATTACAGTTTCTGCAGCTACTCTTGGATCAATACGTCCAAATGGTAGTTTTGGTACGGCACCCCATGCAAAACCACGATTTGTACATCTAACACGTGCATAATACGCAAGAGCAGCAAGTATAATAGCGCCCACAAAAAACAGAGGTAAAACAATTGTATGAAATTCTGGATGATCATCATCAGGAATTTTCTTTGTTGATGATAATCTTGTTTCTGTTGTAGAATTCGTTTTATTCAATTGAGTTTTTCGTGATTTAATTTCATTTGATTTACTATGTGTTGGTGTCCACCATGTAAGACTAGGTTCAGTTTCGTTACGATCAAAACCAAAATATCGACTTAATATACTACCAAATGATGATGGTGTATTAGTTATTGTTTTAGCTAGCCATGTTGATAATAAAATAGATAATAATGACATAATTAGAATAACACCTATTAATATAACAAGGCTAGTTTTTGCTTCAATTACTAAATCTTTTGTTTCACCGGAAATGGCATTTGTATCTAAGAATGGAAATAAAATAAAATCCTATAATAATATATAATATTCAAAAAATACCTTCACGAATTGTATCTGCAGCATCATTATCACCAACATCTAATTTAGTATCTTCACCCATATTTAATCTGAGATAAATGCCAAGAGTAAATTATAATCTAGTTAAATTTTAATACTATACTCATTGTTTCTTTGATTACTTTCTGTACTTCTCATACAATTGGTTGTTCAATTAATCAATTCGGTTTTTATTTATCAGATTTTACCAACATCCAAGGACATCTATGTTGAAAATTTTTAAGAAATCTTTTCAGTATTTAATATAATAATCTTCAATAAAACGATAATAAATCCTATAAAATAAATTAAATAATCTTTTTTATAAATTCAGCCGCTACAATCAACGTTATCATCTAAATTGTGTATCATTTGTTCAGGGATTTTCAAATAAATCTATCTATAAAATGTATATATATTCACGGATTCCATTTGAAAATACTTGATTTAAAGACAAAAAATGTTATCTCCACCTTCTCATCTACATTTGTTGAGTCAACTCAACATTCTATTCTCATTCTCTCATAAGATTAAATAATATAAATATCGAAATGTCGAAATTATTATCTCATTCTCGTCTATCATCATCGACAATTACATCGCCAGATTTCGAAAACCAAATTTTAATGGATATGAATAATGATATTCGTCGTCAATCAACATTAAGTGAAAGACGTATTAATAATGTGAACTATGTTCGACATGTTTTAAGAAGATTTTTTGGTGGTTCACATAAGAAATCTTCATCAACAACACCTTTTGATGATATATCTGATGAACAATCACCTTCATTGAATAATCCTACAGATAATTCATCATCACCAATATTAATTCATCCAGATTTACGATATGATAAACATACGAAATTTTCTGGTAAAATTAATCCTTAGAAAAGAAAAACAATGGAACTTTTTTTCTTCTTTTTTTGATTTAAGGTGAATTATTACTTGATTGGTTTTTAATTCATTTTGAAGGACGATATGAAAATTTAACATTAAAACAAGTTATTTTAAGGTGTTGTAAATGTCTTCAATCCCTTGGTGTACTTCGAACAGAAAATGATCAGGATAATAATGATTTATTTCAAGTATGAAAACAAATATTAATTTATATATAGAGAGAGAAAGAGATTAACACAGAGAGTAGATATTTAAAATATTATTCAAATTATAAGTAATGACTGCTTTATATATAAATATTATTTATATGTAATACTATCGGACGACCATGTGTATATAAGAAGGTGTAAAGAACCTTGTCATATGATGAAGGTAATCAATTGTATTATATACATATATATATGAATCAGATAGAAGCAATTTGTGTGAAAAACCGTCATTCGCTTTATGTATAGACGTCAAAACGGTCAATGATATCCACATAATTGAACTCGATGGGATACGTTTTTGATGTGTGAATGACATAAATTGTTTGACAAACACATTTTTCTCTTTTTTTTTCTCAACAACGTTACACTTTAGGTAAACGTGTTTATATATGAATGCATACTTTCGAACTTGTACCTGTTCGAATTGAATTAGATATCATTACTTATCATCTTACCTCGTCACACAGAATGTTATCACTGTGTTTATATAATATTAAATATCGGTTTTTTTCCTATCTATATTCACAATCGTAGACATCAATTTTGTCTTTTGAAAAACGACAAGAAAAAGGAGACGTTCAAGGTTAATAATTCATATTAATTCAAGATTTCTTTTCAAATCAAGTAAATAAGTTCATAATCGTTGTTGTTAATAGATTTGCCTTGAAATGAATGAGTAAAATCCTTGATATACTGTCTACGTACATTTGTTCCCAATCCCAATTAAGTTATATAGGTGTCTAGAGACGACTATTATATAACCTTTGACATTGAACATGTCGTGATGCTCATCAGTTGTCGACCAACCGACATCGTAATTCTATACATCGAGGTGCGTATAACGTTGTCTTTATATTTAGTTCAATTAACAAATAACTTGAAACATGTAGAATAAAATAAGAAATAACCATGAAGGATACAGACAAGAAAGAGACTAGTAAAAAAAAATGAAGCGAATAATTCTAATTAAGAAAATTTGAAGGAACATCGCCTTTCTTTTATATATATTGTGCACTGATCGAACAGGCATCCTAAGGGTATGTTTATCATATTCGTTACACTTTTATTTTTCTTGAATATTAAAAAAGAAATTCTATCGAAACGGATCTATTATATGATTTATGAAGTATTAACGGATATGATTGTTGATCTTATATTATGAATCATTTCGATTTTGATTTTTATTATAATATTATTTTTTTTTTCGCCAGAAGAAATGAAAAACGTGACTAAGCACAATATATTACTGATGAAAGAATGTCCTATTAATATTTGTTGAGTATGTATAAAAAAATTCTATGAGTCTTAGTCACCTTTTTTTATATAATCAAACTTTATTTTTCAATGACTCATAAATATTCTGAGTCATTAATATAGCATCGATCATTGCTGTTAATATTCATTTCCTTTTTTCTTTTATTTCATGTTAGACGCAAAGTTTATATTCGTGGGCAAGTAACATAGACGATGAAGATACAGATATCAAATTATCACCAACAAAAACCACCAGTGATAGTAAGTTTCCGTTTCTTTTTCTTTTTGTATCTTTCCTTTTTTTACTAATATTTGATAAATCACCTCTCATTGTGATGATCATGGTGTAAGGTGTGAAGCTTTCTGTCTTCATGTTAACAGTCAAGGATATTGTATCAATATCGTTTTTGTATTCTAGTCAGTAAAGTGTGACTGAAGAAGCAAAAAAAGGCAGGCAAACAGGTATCATTGTCGATTGCTCTTCTACCGTGCTTATAACACGCTATTCTAGCATTTTTATATCTTCTTCCTCTGTTTCTTTTTTTCTTGTGCAAAATTGCTGCTCTCACCCCTTTTCTCTTTTAATCTATTTTCTTCACTTTTACACTAATCCTTAGAACTTATCAAATTTTTTCCTCTTTTAATCTGTGTTTTCACAAAGATATTGAGACCTTTGGATAAATATATCTGTTCTTTTTTTGAAATAGTTAATCATCATCCGATCGAAAGTAAAGAAAAAAATTATAGACCATCAACAACTACTACTGCCATATTAGATATTCTTAGGGTACGTATTTATATAATAAAAATTTTCATTGTTAATTTGGTATTATCAATAGGACGAATACGGTTTTCTTCCTGGTGTACCACCAATTGAAACAAAATCTGTATCGACACAAATCGATCCTGTAAATGAAATAGAAACTTTCGAAGAATCAACTCAAACAGATCAATTAAATCCACCTCTTATTTCACATTATAAAGTAATAAAATATAGAAATAATCAAATAAATTATTATTATAAATAAAAATAGAAATGTTTGACATTTGAACTTAATCCAATGCCAGTATCGATTATATCGAATTCTCAATCAGAGTGTGAACCATCATCTACAGCACCACATTGTTATGATGAAATCATTGTTCGACGAGCAATGCATAAATTATTATCATGTGATAATAGTAGTGAACCTTCGTCGCCTAGTGATAATGATGTTCATTCATCTACACTTATCATTCGTCCTTCCAAAGCATTTAAAAATAATCATGCTAAATTTTCAAGTAATTCAATTGACTACTTCTTTTTTTTTGATTTTTCTATTCTATATCTTTCATTAGGTGAGTTATTACTTGAATGGTTAGCAGTAAATTGTGATGGAAAAAATGCATGTCAACAAGGATTTATTCAACAATTTAAATCATGTCTACCTTCAAATAGTAATACTAATGCAAATGACATTGACCTTCAAAAGGTAAATTAATTAATTTTTTGATAAGTAGAAGATATCGATCTATATCAAATAAACTAATATAATTTCAAGGATCATCTTTTTTCAAGAAACTAAATTTATGGATTGTTAAACAGGTGAAAATTTCAAA